GTGCTCAAAAGTTTACCAAAGTTTTCTTACTTTCATTCCATAGCAAATAGTTAGCTGTATTTTTTAGAGAGATCCTAATTGTAACATTATGACTTTTCGGTCGTTCATCTGGTAGCCATCGCAAATTTTGAAATCTCACGGAAAACATAATGTGGCCGTAAATAATGTGGTCGTAAATCATCCAGCAGGAATAACAAGACCGATATGATAAAGCTGCATTCTAAAACTTGACCTTCAAATTAAAACCGCCATTTTACCTGGCAGAGAAAATGGTGCATTGCATACCAATATTTATGGTTGTATATTAACAACTTGAAAATATTGGCTCAAATTTATTGCCGCCACCATGAAACATTCGGTGAGTCTTTGAATTGAGTKCAACGTAGATTTGAAGTTTTTATCCAAATACGTGTTTTCATTATGAATTTCCCATCATTTTTTACCAAATTTGCYACATTGACAACTTATCTAATCCTTTAAAAATTATTGAAATAGAAAATGTGGGCGGCCAACGATTTTGTTCAACCAAACTCGACTTGCAAGTTCGTAATGGTGTAAAGCTTTGCCATTACATTATTTCTTTATAACGTTTGCGCATGAAAATACTGTACACATGAATATGAGACGGTGCAGGCAAGTAAAGAATCTTATTCTCAAACGAATAGATGACATGATTTGAAATTAKCAAACATTACGCCCAATCAAAAAGAGTCTATTAATACTGTCTGGCGTAATGTAGACGATAGTCAAAGTCGGTACAACAATATAATAAAATACAACACAATAACTTTATTTAACGTGGTCGAAAATACACTTAGCTCAATATATAGGATATGTTATGAGAGAGAAAATTAATGTTTTTACAGACTAAGCTAGACATCAGTTTTCTAATTACTATTTCTTATCGTATGAAAACAAGATAAAGAGCGAKCAATTAGTYATTGAAAATATCGATATAAGATTTCAGTAAGGCTGCCATCACGCACGAGTTTAGATGATGGTATGCTTTGAATTTACAAGTAAACTACTTAGCTCCTCCCATTAGTATGTACACTTATGGTTACACCCTAAACACTCTTTACCTCTTTGCTTAGTTATTTTAGCACTATTCTTTTAAATCTTATGATATAATTATTCCTCGCAGACCTTTCTATACGTTAGTCAAAGATCATTAGGGTTGACTATGACCTTGATGAAGCTCTATGTCTTCATCTAAACTTGGATGTATACTTCATCCCTGATGAAGTCATCCTCATAGTATTCCAGTGGTCTTTATATAAAGATCACATGTGTCTTTATATAAAGACACATGTGGCTTTGTATAAAATCACTTGAATACTAATGAAGAGGACTTTTTCGGTTATAAAGGTTCATGCACGTGACGTGTATGGTGGCTCCAATTGGACCATAAGCTTATGAATTATTAAAGTGTATATGACACGAAAAAATTTTAATGTTAAGAATGTGTAGTTTATTGGCATTAATAAGAATATCATGGTTAAATTTGTTCCAAAAACGTATTTCTCTAGAAATTCAAAAAATTTTAGCACGAGTTGTGACGTCATTTTGTTTACAAGTCTCC